ATGAACTAACACCAGGTCATTGGACCTTGTCTACTGACAGAAAAAAGGCTCTATTAGATCTTGGACCCCCAGTTATGAAAAAACAACTCCGTACTTTCCTAAGCATGCAGGTTTTTGCTGCCTTGGATTTGGGCTCTTAGCCAGACTATTGTATGATTCAATTAAAGACCCTGATGAAGAAACTTTACTCTGGACTAAAGCCCAGCAGACAGCCTTTCAAACATTCAGAGCTAAGCTTTCATCAGCCCCAGCTTTGGCTTTACCAAATTTAGAAAAACCTTTCATTTTACGTGTAACAGAAAAACAGACAAGCTCTGGGAGCTCTTACCCAGAAATTAGGAAGTGAAACAAGACTGGTGGGCTATTTTTCATAGTCGCTTGACAATGTAGCAGAAGAGTGGCAAGCTTGTCTTTGAGCAGTGGCTGCAACAGCTCTCCTGGTAGAAGCAGCTTCAAAACTTACTATGGGGCAATCCTTAACATTGATGACTCCACATCAGGTCTAAAGTGTCTTAGAGACCAAAGGCCACCAATGGATAATGGGAGGCTGACTTACTAAATACCAGGTGACGCTTTTAGACACACCTAAAATAATATTTAAAACCTGTCAAACTTTAACCCAGCTATCCTTATGCCTGTACCTGACCATCATACTTTTATGACTAGAACATGACTGCTTAGAGATTATTGATCTTGTTTCTTCCAGCAGACCAGATTTGAAAGATTTCCTACTGAAAATGTATATGACAACTGGTTTACAACCCACAGGTGCAGATGCCAGTAGCTTCATGAATAGGGAGAAAGAAAAGCTGAATATGCTATAGTTAGTTTAACTAAGACCATTGAGGCACAACGCCTCCAATAAACACTTCTTCTGAAAAGGCTGAATTAATAGCACTTACCTGTGCTCTTCAGTTGGCAAAAGTTCTAAAAATTAATATTTATACTGACTCCAAATATACTTCCTGGTGCTACATCCCCATGGGGCAATTTGGAAGGAAGGGGAATTATTATCAAGCCATAACTCTCCAAATATGTGCCTGAAATAATTACGCTTCTTAAATCTGTACACCTACCTAAGGAGGTAGCCATGATTCACCTCTGAGGATATCAAAAGGATATGACCTTAGAATCTAAAGGCAACAATTTGGCAGATGATGCAGCCAAGCAGGCAGCTCAAAATAAATATTAAGTCATACCAGTCTTGATTCCAATAAAGTCCCTAACTTCAGTCTATTCAGACCAAGAAATTCACATAGCCCAGGAACAAGGATATTAAAAAAATGCATAGGACTGGGTTATTAATCATGAGGGAAAAATCTTTATACCCCAAAATAACACCCGACATTCAGGATGACTATCATTGGAAACATGTTCTCTGATCATTGCGCTCCAGACTACTGACTGGTTTGCTACTGATTGGATAAGGCGACCTGGAATTGGATGGCTAGCTCCAAATGGAACCCAATGGTTATGTGGAACTAACCTATGGCCCTGGCTTCCTCCAGGGTGGATAGGCCATTGCACCTTAGGTTTTACCTGGATTCATGTGCACATTATCAAAACCATCACTACCCCAGCTAATCTTCCCAATTTATTTATTTATTTTTAAGATTTTATTTATTTATTTATTTGACAGAGAGAGAGAGAGAGTGCAAGCAGGGGGAGTGGCAGACAGAAGGAGAGGGAAAAGCAGGCTCCCCGCTGAGCAAGGAGCCCGATGGGGTCTTGATCCAGAACCCTGGGATCATAACCAGAGCCAAAGGCACTTAATTGACTGAGTCACCCAGGCACCCCTAATCTTCCTAATTTTCTTTTTTTTAAAGATTTTATTTATTTGACACGGAGAGAGAGACATAGCGAGAGAGGGAACACAAGCAGGGGGAGTGGGAGAGGGAGAAGCAGGCTTCCCGCGGAGCAGGGAGCCCGGTGCGGGGCTCGATCCCAGGACCCTGGGATCCTGACCTGAGCTGAAGTCAGATGCTTAATGACTGTGCCACCCAGGTGCCCCATAATCTTCCCAATTTAAAACACAGATGAACATGATCTGTTTTTCAATGGTATGACCATTTAGTATCCATTGTTGTTCCATCTGTAGGATTAGAAAGCACAATTTGGCATATCTAAGCCCTCAATAAGTACACCATGAAGGCACTCAGTGATTCATAAGACAGCATCTCCTTACTTGTTACTAAAGTCACACAAATGCACAAAGTGGTTCTACAAAATAGAATGGCTTTAGATGTCCTAACCGTGGCATAAGGAGGTACATGTGTCATTATTAAAACAGAGTGCTTTGTATACATCCCAGATCATCACAAAAATGTCACAGGACTACTAAAAGATATGAATACCCAACTTAAGGCTCTACAAAATCCTTCCCTCTCTTTCAATAATTGGTTAAGTTCCTGGTTTGGGGAAGGACTGTGGTTGACTATTAAGGGTCTCTTTGTTGGACTTCTCATCCTTATAGCCATTTTAATTTTAATATATTGCCTTTTTCAAAGTTTCTCTGTTTGGTGCTGAGACTCCGTCGCTATAATAACTTCACATAGAGAGATGGCCTTACCACCCACAGAGATACTTCTTTGCTGTCCACATTGGACTCAGCCGCCTCCACCTTTCATAACTCCCCTATACATGCCCTGACTGATGTTGACCCATAGGTAGGGACATCTCTTTGCCCCTGTTCAGCAGAAAGAAGCTACAGAAGATGAGACCTTCCACCTTCAACAGTCTTAAAGATTTAAGGGTCAAAATTGTTCAGGGGGGAAAATAAGATAACAAAAGGCAAGATAATGGCAATAGGCAAACTGACACTCTACATACATCCCCCCACCCCCAAGGTGGCAGTGGGATATGTGTGACATTCCTCAGGCACTTATGACTGCCCAAGAACAAAGAAAGGAAAAACAAATGGTGAAATGATAAAGATCACAGTCATGTAGGACATGAAATTCTATCAGTTCATCACTGTCTTAATGATTTACAAGAAAAACACAATCTTAATCATAGCCAGACCTCCAGGAACCTATAGATTCAATTTCCTGGAGCCCTAACATCATCTTCCCCCTCCATAGAATAAGAAATCCTATATAATCAGTCATTCCTCAGACTTATAATGCAGCTTTTTCTGCCCAGGGGTCTTGTCCTGTGCTTTAATAAAAACCACCTTTTTGCACCAAAAACATCTCAAGAATTCTTTCTTCACCATTTGCTCTTGGACCCAAACATTAAATTACAACAGAATCTGTGAGGAAAGGATGGACTTTAAAAAAATACTCTCTTGGGGCACCTGGGTGGCTCAGTCAGTTAAGCGTCTACCTTCAGCTCCAGTCATGAACTCAGGGTCCTGGGATCTAGCCCTGCGTCAGGCTACTTGTTCAGTGGGGAGTCTGCCTCTCCCTCTGCCCCTCCCCCTGCTCATGCTAGTGCTCATGCCCTCTCTCAAATAAATAAAATCTTTAAAAATGAATAAATAAATAAGTAAATCTCTCTTTTTACCCAGAAATGATGATAGACTTCAATTTATAGTTTCAGGAAGCACAATAAACACTGCACAATATAAATAAGATGAAATCCATTGAAAACCACATAATAATAAAACTACAGAATGTTAAAATCAAAGCTATCTTAAAACATCCAGAGTGTATAGACAGTTTACCCCCAGATAATAAGAAATCAATAAAATATTATCAACAGTGAAAGTTAGAATACAGTAGAATAATATCACCAAAGGTTTAAGAGAGAAGATTCTCACACTAAACTTTACCCCCAGCTTAATGTTAAATTCAAGAATGAAATAAACTAAAATATTTCATACTAAAAAAATAACAGAATTTACTATTAATGACCTTCACCTAAAATAACTTTTAAAGGATATACCTCAAGAAAATGGAGTATGATCCCTGAACAAATATGAAATGCGATAAATAGTAAGGAAAAGTGGTAAACATATAATTATAAGAAAACTTATACTGTATAAGACCAATTATAATGTCAAAGTCTGGAGGAAAAAATCCAAAGCTATTTAAAATATTGGACAGTCCTAACCTGAGAAAAAGCAGAGAGGAAAGGAGTTACAGAGCTTTAAGATACTTAAGAGATATATATTTATGGTTTTCCCCTAAATATGTATACTATACTTTTAAGAACAATCAATAAACAATAGAATTCTCCTTAAATGTTATTTATTGCAGTTGAGCTGTTGATAAGTGTGGCCCACAAGGATTTCAGTGAGCAGCTAGTCTATTTGCCACATGCAGCTTGCAGGCTTTAACACTCAGCCAGACCTCGGAGACCTCCAGGGTAAGAGCACTAGAAAGGAATGGAAGAAGGCTTGTGGGTGATGGAAGTTCCAACGGGAAGTAGGAACAGATTCCTGGCAATGGGAACTCAGATTGATGGTGCCATGGAAGATGCTGCAAATCTCAGCACTTGGGGGTGCCTCTTCCTTCCCCTCAGCCTCAGCAAGACCCCGTGTTTTGGTGTGGTGGGTTGGGTGTATGGTTCAGGCATGGCCCAGAGCAAGGGAGGGCAGGGAACAGGGATGGACACAAATACTGGAGATGCTCACAACACTGAAAAGGTGGGAGAGGAGCCCACGTCAGTCCTGAAGCTCAGACTATCAACTTCTCGGGGTCAGGAGGTGGAGTTGACAAGTTTGACCGCGGTCAAGCAGCAAATGTTATTAGTTCAAGGTGCCGGCTAAAGCTGAGGTCCGACGCGGTGCGGGCGTCACGGGTCCAGCCTAGCAGACACCTGAGTCAGGGGGCAGAGAGGCAAGGTCGGGGGGGGGAGGGGGGGCGGGTCCCTAGGTAGGGGCGGAGCCTGGGAAAGGCCGGCGCGGGTGGGGGCGGGGCCAGAGGTGGGCTGAGGCTAGAGTCAGGCGGTGGGGGCGGGTCTGAAGGCGGAGCCTGGCCCCGTGGGGTTTGCGCCTGCGCACGGGGGTCCCGGGGGCGGGGTTGCGCGCGCGCGGTGCGCGGGCCCTGGAGGGCGGAGTCCAGGGCGGGCGCAGGCCCAGGGAGGGGGCGCGGTGTCTCTGGAGTCAGGCGCTCCCTCAGGCCGCGGGCGCGATGCTGGCTGCTGCGGATTCCGCGGCGATGCCGGCGGGGATGTGACGGGCAGTCCCTCGCCTCACCTGCAGTCCTTGGACCCGTGGGTCACTGGGCGGCCCGCAGTCGGGCCGCAGCGGAGGAGGCAGCGTGACCTCCTCACGGTGAGAGTCGGGGTCGGGAGAGGGCCGGGGCCGGAGTCGGGGCGGGGCGGGCGTTCGCGACTGTCCAGGGCTGGGGGCGCGGCAGGTCCCGGGCCCAGGCACCTGGGGTGAGGCAGTGACGCTCTCCGGCCTCCCGCCCTCCCGGCACCTTCTTGAGCTCCCCGCGAGCCGCCTAAGGAGGGGCGAGCGTGGAGCCTGGAGGCCGGACGCCCCCCGCCCCCGGGCTGTGACAGGCGCGCCGGGGGCCTCGGGCGCTGGGGCTGTGCCTTTCTCTCAGGAGGAATCAGGGCGAGGCCAAGTTACCAGGGATTTCAGGGCCAGGATGCTTGTGAGGGTTGACAGGGGAAAGTACCCTGGTGCCCCAGTGACGGTTTTTGTTTTTTTTTTTTTTTAATTACTGGGCCAAAACAAAGACACACCCTAAAACACATCCTGAGATCAAACTTTGGTGGACCACACCGTTGTCACAGGTTCAGATGGTGCTTCTCTCTCCTTTTGACATCTGCTGTTTTTATACATGTATTTGTTTTTTATGCTCCTAGGTTTTTTTTTTTTATCATAGTAAAAGGAAGAATGATTCCTTTGAGGTAGTCGTCGGTGGCTAAGCTTGAATTTGAATTTCAATAATTGCAAATTCATCTTTGTAGGCTACCCAGCCAGTTAGGCTTGCAGTTCCAAGACTAGGCCTTAGCAGTGTGGAAATTACTGATTCAGGGACTCTTCGTGGTCCCAGATTGAAATGTGGATGTTTTGCTCCCATTGGTGAGATAAAAATTGAATTTTAGTCTTTTCAGAGTAGTCATTTGAGAAGGCATTCCTTTTCTCCTTTTTTTCTGAGCATTAATTTTGCCAGTTAAAAAAAAACCATCATCTTTTAGGCTAAAGATTTTAGTGGTGGCAGCTCTTCTTTAACCAAAAGGAATTTAAGATACCCTTCTGCACAAAACATGTCTTATCTGCAATCAATATATGACAAGTATTTAAACATTCCTGAATGTTTACCTGAAGTCAGTCTTCTCAGACATTATTACTGTTTGCCTCTTGTGATTTTTTAAGCTAAGTATTATTTCATTGTTTTCTTTAGTGTTCTCAACAACATTGACTTCAAAGAATCTTTAGGTAAAAATACACACTTTCTTGAATCCTTTAGCCATAATTCATACTCTTTCACTTCAGTGTGGTATTAATATGCTGTAGTAAGAAACTGCTAGAAGCCATCCTAAGGGCAGGAACTCTCCATTTGAAAAACAGCAACAACCAACCATTTATTCTCTATTTCCATATTGAGACCTGCATTTTTTTTTGTTTGTTGCTTTGACTCAACTCCTTTGACTGTATGCTAGAAGAAGGGGACTTTGCTTCCATCCATGACTCAGTATAGTTATTGAGTCCGTTAGTGACTCCATAATCTGTGTTTGATAAAAGTCGAAGTCCTTCACAATTTCTGATAACTTGTGTTTCTGATTTCATTTCTACCATTTTGCCTGCCTTTCCATACAAAGACTACATAAGAGTTCTCTGAAGATGACATCTTCCTTTGTGGTTTTACATTGTTCCCTCTGTTGAGAATTCTTCTCTACCTAATAAACAATTTGCTCTTCAAGACCTACTGAAAATATCAACTGTGAAAATGGTCCAGACATCTTATCCCCCTTGTCTTGACTGATCCAATATAGCACATCATATATTCTGCATTTAGCATTTGTCAGTTAGTAATGATTTGTTTATATGTCTGTCTCCATTAGACTTTTGGGTTTCTTCAGGGAAGGACCTTTGCAACTCTAGCATATACTGTTATGTAGTCAGGTACTCAACTGTTTATTGAATACGTTTTTGAGAAATGCTCTTAATCCTGAATATAGATTGAAGATAGGCAAACTTTGTTAACTATCTCTTTCAATATCAGAAAACATGGAAAATATGGATGTGCAAGGTACTTTTAAATTTCCAAGAACACAGTCAAAATTGTTGTTGGTTGGGAATGAAATCCCAGTTATGACAGTGAAAAACCAATACATTTTATGATGCAAGATTAAAAAAAGCATGGCCAGTAAGGATTGCAGCTTCGTTGATTTTAGGACTTCATTTTGAGGCAAAGTAAATTGCCCAAGGTCATGCAGGTAGAAAGGGACAGACCTGGGATACAATTTTGACTATCTGTATTTTATGTTTGCTCCCATTTTCCTAATTCTAAGTCTTAATAATCGTTCTGAAATCTGAGTGGAAGGTTTTGAAAGTCATAGACATGTATTAGTAAAGGGGGTCTATAAATAGAATGTTGCATTTGAAGGAATTAGTACATTATTTGGTTCAGCTGTAAAAATTTTACCCATTAAACAACTAAAGCTCGAAAGGTAAGTGCCTTGTTTGAGGTTGCTTAGAGTCAGTCGTACCCCACATCTCCTGACCTCATGCTTGTGTATTTTTCACTACTTCATGGTGCTTGTGGGGAAAATGAGGAAGCTGCCAATTTTCAGAGGGAGAACAAATCAGCTTGTATTTTCTCCCTCTATGAATGCTTAGCTGCCATTCTTAGGAACTTAGAGCCCTTGAGTGATGAGAAACATGATTATTCATTTGGGGATAGAGGAGAAACCTGACCTTCACTACTCCATTGGCTGGATAGTTTTTAACCTCAGTGCTTGGGGCCGTCTTTCCAGATGCCCCATAACAAGTGGCTTCTGCTCACCATATGGAGATTCCATATACAGTTACGTTTTGATGGTAAAATGAGATTTTAATATAATAAGGTTACAGATGGTTAGTAGCATGGCTAAAATTACATGTATGGCTAGTCTGTATGTGAGAAGAGCCTATCTGATTACTCCTCTGTGATAGGTTTTTTTGGGGAAAAAAATGGACAGTTGTGGCTTTATGCCTCCGAAAAGCCAGTTTTGAAATGTGTACTTACTGTAGTGGGCCTGATCAATAGCACATAAGAAAAAAAAATAAACGTTTAGTTTTTCTTCTCATTTAATTCTTACCGTATATATGTGATTTTATACTATACTATTTTATACTATAATCAAAGCATAAATATAATGTTTAATATTTGTTTTCATATTTAATGTTTTTGCTATAATTTTTGTACACTTAAATTATACATGTTACAGTGAACTGAGTTACTTATTTTTAATAGTTGGACATCTGAGTTGTTTCTTGTTTTGCAAGTAATGCAGTTATCATATAGCTGTGATGTTTTGCTTCTTTACTTTAGGCTAAAGACCCAGGAGGGGGAATTTCAAGGTCAAAGGGTATGAAGGTTTTTGTCACTTTTGAAAAATATTGCCGAATTTATTTCTGAAATTTTTTTTTTATTGATTTACGCTGCCTCCTGCAGTTTGGTTGACCAGTTTCATCATAATTTTTTTTTTAAGATTTTATTTATTTATTTGACAGAGAGAGACATAGTGAGAGAGGGAACACAAGCAGGGAGAGTGGGAGAGGGAGAAGCAGGCTTCCCGCTGAGCAGGGACCCAGATGCAGCTTGATCCCAGGGCCCTGGGATCATGACCTGAGCCGAAGGCAGATGCTTACTTTCATAGGTTTTTGTTTTTAAAATTTGTTTTTTAGGGGTGGCTGGGTGGCTCAGTCAGTTAAGCATTTGCCTTTGGCTCAGGTCATGATCCCAGGGTTTGGGGATTGAGCCCCACATTGGGCTCGTTGCTCAGTGGTGAGCCTGCTTCTCCCTCTCCCTCCTGCTCATGCTCTCTCTATCTCTTTCTCTCTCAAATATAAATAAAAATTTTTAAAAAAAGTTTGTTTTTTAAAAATAGGTGTAAGGGCATCTACTGTCTAACATCACTATCCACAATAGAAAAGCAAATGCAGTATTTTTCTAGTTTTACCTTCTCCTTTGTATGAATTGTCTTTTGCCCATAAATTTATTGGAACCTTTTTACCAATTTTCATTAACACTTAACATTATAAATATATGAACCTCTTAAAATATGTATCTGATCTGTTGTTATTATTGTGGACTTGGCAGTTCTTAAAATTATTTAAATCACTGACTTACAAAAAATTTTTGTGATTTCATCTTTTTGATTGTGAGGTCTAAGAATGAATGTCACTCCACCATCTGTCTGATATACACTTTTATTTTCTTAAGCTTCTAGAGTTTGTTTTGTTATATGTATATATCTTTAGAAAATTATATATGCAATTGAGATTGAATTTAGTTTATGTGGATTTTATACTATAGAGAATCACATTCTTAGAGATATCTGAGTTTCTATTGGTAAGCAGCTGTTTTTTTCCTTCCTGAACTTGAATAGAAAACAAAACATAAGTAATCTAGTTATTTTTTTTAATAAATGGATACTTGTTTTTAAATAAATTATAGTAAATTTTGACAAACGAAAATTTCAGGAAAGCATATTTTGGTTAATTGAAGTTTTTGTTGGTTCGTTGTTAACGAGAAGGTCATTTCTGATTTAACTCTTATTGTTAATCATTCTAAAGTATATGAGAGTAAAACTTTGGTTATCTGCTTCCTTTGATGAGTGAGACATTCTAGACAGATGAGATATCCCAGGGTAGTAGTTAACATTAGCTGAATGCTGGATACTGTGCGGGTACTTGGCATGGAGTTGCTTACTTAATTCTCCTAACAACCATGAGTAGGTTGTTTTTATACCCTCACTTTGTAAATGAGGAAACTTAGAGAGGTAAAGTGACCTGGCAAAGGTAACACAGCTAATGAACAGTGGAACTGGAACTCCATCTGCCTACTTTTAAAAGGCTCTGTTTGAGAACTGTATTATCTTATTTTCTGTGCTAAGGATTTGAACTTTATCTTGTAGGCATTGGAAAGATATTAGATGTTTCAAAGCAAGGGGATGATAGGGTATGTCATTTAGGGAGTTGGCTGATGTGGCAGTGTGGAAGTATATTGAATTGTGTTTCTGATAGGAAGTAGTTGAATAGGTCATATGAGAAATGAAGCCTGAAATGCAAAGTGAATTTGGAGATCAGGGGATATTATGGAAAGATACAGG